TGGACCTGTGGTAGCAAAGCGGAGGGAAGATTGGTCCTTAACTTTCCTTTCCGGATGTAATCTCTCCTACGAAAAGAACATTCAGATTCAATAACTGAGCCAAACCTTGATGAAATTATCTCCATCCTTTCTATTGATCGGTTTAATCGACATGGAAATGACTGGTTCCGGTATGTGCATGGACTCCTGGATTAGATTTATAATCATAAGTGAACAGTAGCACACAAAAGTAAAACGAAGAGGACATACACAATGGGGCGGAACATTCGCATCGCTGCTAAACGTCTCACCAGAATGGCAGTCTAATCCAAATGTAGCGCAAATGTCACCAGCGTAGACAGTGTTGATTTCCTGAACAAGTCGCTTGGAGCTGCAAGATTTTTGCTCGAAATATTATAAAATATATCATTGAAAGAGAATCTAGAGATAGTTCCCAAAAACCATCAATAAAACCAAGCGCAGTTCGTGGTGAACTATTTCAGGGGGTGACCTCACCAGGGGCACTACGAAAATGGGGAGGAAATGAGGAGCGGGGATAATGCTCCTAGGCGTTCAAAAAGGTAAGTGTCGCCTCGAAAAGGGACCCTGTTAAGGAAGAGAAATCTCCCTCACAGAAAGGCTGGGTTATGAGTCAAATGGTTTACCTGAGGTCACGTTCCAACGCTTCTCAAGTTGGAGTAAGATATTAGTGGTGTATTGGTAACACACTGACTGCAAGCGTGAGATCAGAGTGTGACTAATGGTTAAAGCGTTTATTTCTAACCCAACGCTCTTGTGATAACTTTCACATCGTGAACTGCGGCAACTGAAGCTTCTGAGTTGCAACCGATGTGGACTAATTCTCTTTTTTGAACCCCTTTTTAAAGTGATAACTGCTCAGCCTCGGAGCCAATGTGACTAAAGATGACTACTATTGAGAATATGACCCAACCTCCATTTCAGCAGCATGCATTCGAACAAGTCGCTGAACTCGAACCCGACGGCCATCCTTCGAAGCATAAATGGTGTCACCCTTATTCAGTTGACCTTGATATACTCGGAAATAAGTGAGCTGACCGTACTTTCCAGCCTGAACGGAAAAAATTAAAAGGGAATACCGGATGAAAGGGTAGAGAGACTAAGACATACATATCAGTACAACAAACCTCAAGCTTGAACGCTAATCCGACAAAAGGTTTCTCGTTGTTCCTTTCAGGAGAGAGTATTATCGTTTTCTCGTTGCTAAATGGCAAAGAAATGAATTAAAGACAGTTCCCGCGATAAAAGTGTCGTGGTTAGTTGCTTCTCAATAATGAAATACTAGCTGATAAGTAATTCTTCAAAGAAGAGAAAAAGCTGAAGAG